ACAAGACCCTATATCTCACTGCGTCGTTATCATGTCTTATATCAAGTGTAGGCATATTCTCACTAGAAATAAGACAAATATACTTAGCCATTTTTTCTTTTTTATGCAGTTTTCTCCTCTGTTCAAACCTCTCCTACACACTCTCTCTTTCCTCCGCTTCATTCAGACTTCCCCACGTCTCGTATATTTCTGATGTAAATATTATTCAGCTGCATTCCACTTCCTGACACCCGCCTCCAGCGTAGTGAAACTCATTACATCTACACTGTTTCTATCGCAGCTGAATGCACCGGGGACTTCCCTCTTAAGAGAGAAACATGTTTTTCATTGATGCTTTGTCTCGTTTTAGTGCGTCCTTTTCAATTTGATCACCCTGCATGTCTTCTCCTTATGCCTGGTGTGTGTTAACGTGTGTGTGTGTGTGTGTGTGTGTGTGGTGTGTGTGTGTGTGTGGTGTGTGTGTGTGTGTGTGGTGTGTGTGTGTGTGTGTGGTGTGTGTGGTGTGTGTGTGTGTGTGTGTGTGTGTGTGTGTGTGGTGTGTGGTGTGTGTGTGTTTGTGTGTGTGTGTGTGTGTGTGTGTGTGTGTGTGTGTGGTGTGTGTGTGTGTGTGTGTGTGTGTGTGTGTGTGTGTGTGTGTGTGTGTGTGTGTGTGTTCTCTCTGCAGTATTGCCAGTGGTTTCGGTGGAGCGTTGTTCGTCTACCTGAACCGACTGATTGTTCAGTTCATCAGGAAACAGAAGGCCATCAACAGATTCCTCATGAAGAAGTAAGTGGACTGGATTTGTGGAAAGTAACTAAGTACATTTACTCAATTACTGTAATTAAAGACAGCTGTTTTACTTCATGACCTTAGAGTAGATAGACTACTGGATTACTTTCTTAGAAATACCAAAAGCATAGCAGCAGTTGGAACAATTGGTTACCTTTTCACTAGATTTATTAACTTGTCAGACCCCTTTATTGACTTCATTTCTAGAAAGTGGCCGACGATACATATCGAGACTTATTCAGAAAGGACAACCAGCTTTTCAGACACTCTTAACCACTTTATTTAATAAGAACAATCCCCACTTTCTGGGTAAAGTAACAGCTACATGAGAAAGTGAAGATCTGATATTGGAGGAGACATGTTTGTGTGCTCAAGTTTCTTTTCAAATGCAGATTTTTCATAGAAAATCATGAAATATGGATCGTTTTTCTGTCAGTGTTTTACTCACTTTCTCTGCTCTTTCCCCCCCCCCCCCCCTCTCAGACGTCTGCTGTACCCCGCGCTGGTCACTTTACTGGTTTCCACTTTAACATTTCCCCCTGGTTTTGGACAGTTTATGGCAGGAAAGGTAAGTTCTGCACACCAACTCTGAACACGTCGTATTTCCAAATGCAGATTTAACTGGGATTTAAAAAGGGAAAAGCAAACGCCTGATGTGTGTGTCAGAAGTTAAACCTGCAGAAAAAACAATGTGTCCTACTCCAGATGTTCAGAATCATCTAAAAATAATGGAGTTATTGGGTTAATCTTATTATGTCACTACCACTATAACATAACTAATAACACTAATAAACAACGTAAATAAGTCACGTTGTGTATTAGTGTTATTAGTGCCGGTAATGGAAATGTGGGAACGATGTGTGTTTAAAAGATATGAGTAACAGGAGGGGTGAGTCAGAGTAACTCACAGCAAAGTCTAAGGATTACCTGGAATATAACTGGGTCATTATTTCTGTAAAAATACATTGTTTTTGAGTTTTAAAATGTCTTGTTTTTCCGCTTTATGAACAACAAGCCTTACAAAAATAGTTGCATTTGTGAAATGTCCCTTTTTATTACTCAGTAAACAGGTACATGTGTGTGTAGTGGATACTCTTTGAGCCGTAATACTGGAGAGAGGCTGGGACTAATGTCCTACTATTCCAAAGGGTTTATTGAAAGCCTTTTCAAGGGAACAAACACAAAAAGGAGACACAGAATATGACGTCAGTTCTCCTCAGGTCTGAATATTTTACTGATCTGTATAAACATATTTGCCTCTAATGAAAACATGTCTACACAACTTTGTATGTGTGTGTTTCATTAGTGTGCACAGGAAACTGGGATCAGCATAATGTCCCTTTAGCTCCTGGGGTGACTCATATATGTGTGTGTGTGTGTGTACGTGTCTGAGAGTGTGTGTGTGTGTGTGCGTGTGTGAGAGTCTGTGTGTACGTGTGTGTGTGTGCCCTCCAATTAGACCACCTTCCTCTGTCTGATTATCAGAATTTGAAAAGGGAATATTCTGTCCATCCTCAGGCACACACACACACACACACACACACACACACACACACACACACACACACACACACACACACACACACACACACACACACACACACACACACACACACACACACACGCTGGCCCCTAATGAAGGGGTGACTCAGCTTTTCTTCAGCCCACACTGACCCCCTCCTCTTAAAGCCTCTTCTCTGTGGAACACACATATTTAAACTTCTGTATCTTCACTCCGTCTGATTGGCTCTCTCTCTCCTCTCCATCTGATTGGCTCCCTCTCTCCTCAGTCATCATTTCTCTGAGACATTATCCCCACCAGAGGCTCCAGATATCCGGCTTTTTAAACTGTGAAGGATACATGAATGTGTCTTTTTGCAATCCTAAATCTTCCGTCTTTATGGACACTTCCAGCTCTTCATCTCCCATCATCTGTCATGCGTTACGCTCTGCATTTGAAGGAGACATATTCACATTTACATCTCCAGTCTGATGCACAGGTTTCATGTGCTTACAGATTACAGAAACATCCTTCATCTAGGCACATTTCAAAGTCTTCTCACAGAAGGATACATGTATCAACATAAAAGAAACGTGGTACAAAACTATTTAGCACTTATTTACCACAAGCTGGAAAACTGGAGCATCTTGCCGAAAGTGTAGTATTTGCACGTACATTTAAACTCATATTGGTACATAAAAGCATTCATGTTAACCAATATTTAACCAAGTAAACCATAAGAGATCAACTTCTGCTTTTGCAAGGGAAACAAAACTACTGAAAGTGACACAAATAAACTGCAAAGAGGCGCAAAAGGACTAACGGCCCGTCCACACAGCAGCGTTAAAAAAATCTTGGAGGTGGGCGTATCTGAAGCTTGGGGATTTTTTGCGAGCAAGGCACCAACAACCAATCACATGAATCTCCCGCCCCCGACATACGAAGCCAAAAAGCCCGAAGTAAACTGGATATAAACTCCCCAAACAGGCGAAAACCTACCACTGTCTCTGCCACCTCCCTCCATGCCTGGCTCCTCCGGTTTGTATCCCGGTAGGTAAATAGGGACTGGTCATAAAGCACCGGGTGATTCCCTACCGCTCATTTCTCCTCCATTTTTTGGAATATGAGGAAATGACCTGCGGTATGTCTCTCCCAGCTTACACGCCGTTTGATTGGCTAGCGCTTGAACGGTCAGATTTGCATACACGGGATTTGATTGGCTGACGCTTCCTCCTCAGCTTCAAAAGTTGAACATTGTTCAACTTTTGAAACCTGAAAATCATGAAAATCTCCGCTCTGCTTCCCACAATGCAGTTCGGCGAAAAGTGAAGCAAAGTGACGTCACCCCATTCAAAGTGAATGGGCAGAAGCGTTCCAAGATTTTTTTTTAACGCTGCTGTGTAGACGGGCCGTTAAGAAGATACAAAAGGACCTCAAAGAAAACATCAAATGAAAACATATGTAGCATAAGCTTCCTTCAATGAGGGGAACACAGGAGGATCTTGCTGGAAATCCAGTATTTGCACATACTGTATATTTAGACAAATCTTGGGCCATAAAAAAGCATTAATAATATTTGTGTTATCCCATATTTAACCACGTAGAACCCTAACGAACTGCATTGTGGGAAGCAGAGCGGAGATTTTCAGGATTTTCAGGATTCAAAGTTGAGCAATGTTCAACTTTTGAAGCTGAGGTGGAAGCGTCAGCCAATCAAATCCGTGTATGCAAATCTGACAGTTCAAGTGCTAGCCAATTAAACCGCGTGTATGCTGGGAGAGACATACCGCAGGTCATTTCCTCATATTCCAAAAAATGGAGGAGAAATTAGCGGTAGGGAATCACCCGGTGCTTTATGACCAGTCCCTATTTACCTACCGGGATACAAACCAGAGGAGCCAGGCATGGAGGGAGGTGGCAGAGACAGTGGTAGGTTTTCGCCTGTTTTGGGAGTTTATATCCAGTTTACTTCGGGCTTTTTTGCTTTGTATGTCGGGGGCGGGAGATTCATGTGATTGGTTGTTCGTGCCTTGCTCGCAAAAAATCCCCAAGCTTCAGATACGCCCACCTCCAAGATTTTTTTAACGCTGCTGTGTGGACGGGCTGTAAGAGCTCAACTACTGCTTCCAAAGAGACACAAAATGACTAAGAAGATACTAAATGACCACAAAGAAAGATAAAATGACAGAGACACATTGATGTGTTTAGTAACAGCGTAGAACAAAAATAAATTAGCACATATTTACCACAAGCTTCCTTCAATGAGAGGAACACTTGCAGCCAAACATTTAAACTAATATAAGGCCATGAGAAGCTTTCATTTGATCTGTGTAATCCATATTTATCCGTGTAAAACCCAAAGGGATCATAAAGCTTTTAAAAGGGAAACTAGACCAAGACGTTAAATAATTTATTGTCTACAGTACTTTACAATAACAGTGTTGGCAAAACTATATTAATTATACGTTTTGTGCACACTGAATATTGAGTGTGTGTGTGTGTGTGTGTGTGTGTGTGTGTGTGTGTGTGTGTGTGTGTGTGTGTGTGTGTGTGTGTGTGTGTGTGTGTGTGTGTGTGTGTGTGTGTGGTGTGTGTGTGTGTGTGTGTGTGTGGTGTGTGTGTGTGTGTGTGTGTGTGTGTGTGTGTGTGTGTGTGTGTGTGTGTGTGTGTGTGTGTGTGTGTGTGTGTGGTGTGTGTGTGTGTGTGTGTGTGTGTGTGTGTGTGTGTGTGTGTGTGTGTGTGTGTGTGTGTGTGTGTGTGTTTTCCAGCTGACCCAGAAGGAGTCTCTGGTGACGTTACTGGACAACCGGACGTGGGCGAAGCAGGGAATCGCCGAGGAGTTCGACTACATCGGACACTCTGCGGCCTGGAAACACCCGCAGGTCAACGTCTTCGTCACCCTCGTGCTCTTCATCGTCATGAAGGTAGGAGAGCAAACTGTCAGGAAGACGTTAACGCATGTTAGTTATTGCATACAGAATATTGTCTATGCTCTCTTTTGGAAAACAAAAGTATCGTCCAGTATTCAAATCCCTTTTACCTTCATCTTGGAGATGGACCTTCAGCAAATGGCTTGTATTTGCTGCCGTCGCACAGGTACACATTTAGCAGGGTAGAGCAACCATTTCTCTGGAGCAAATTCACTCGGAAGAGATTGGAAATAAATGCTGAAATTTGTCTAAGAAAGCTTAAAGTGGACCTATCATGCTATATTTGAATAATATAGTGTAGGACCATACCTATATAAGGCATATTTATACTTTTTTTTTTTCAAAATACCAAACAGATCATGCATTTTAGCCATGCCTCATTTTGCTCAATTTGAAAAATGTTAGCTCTGTTTTAGCAAGGGCAGATTCTGTGAGAACAGCACCATCTACAGGCCTGGCATATGTACTACAGCGTCTCCAGCGCTTTCAAACGGCAATGGCCGTGGCTGTCTCCTCCTGATTGGTGGAGTTGGCCCAATAGCCGTAGCGCCACCGTCCTGACGTCAGGACAGTGTTCAAATCTGGATCAGTTTTTATCAGATCCGTTGCAGCCCCTTTTTTAGAGATTTGGGTATGGAGGAAAATAGAGAGGGTTGTGTTTTCTGACACTTGGTGAGTTCCCTGGAACACCGGGGACACATTCATGTAGAAAAGACGTACACAAGTGCATTTTGCATGATAGGTCCCCTTTAAGTTTCTCTGAAGAACGCAGACGTTTCGCCAGTGTTTCTGTAGAGAGTGCACATCTACCTCGGAGGAGATACAAGGTTCGAGGCTTTTATTGGTCATACGCACATACAGTAGCTACAGTGAAGTTATGACGATGAAAATCTGAGGTCACAGCCTCCTCCAACAGTGCACCACAATAAAACTGAAAAACTGAAAAAATAGTGCAAGTAATACAAAAAGAAAAATAGTAAAAAAGTGCAATACAACACAACATGTTGCAAGAGAAAGAACGCAAACAGTTACTTCCACGATAAAGAAAACAAACATCGTCAGGATGCAAATGTTCTGCAAGAGGAAGGAACATTTTCTCCGGAAATTGTAAACATTTGTATCCTATAAATAAGGCTCTATTTTCTTTGTCTTCCCCATGTTCCCTTAGGGGCTGATTCATCTTCCCTCTGGTCACTTGTCTACTTTTCCCCCTCTATGCATTGGACATTGTTCAACCCCTTCTTCACTCCCTTCCTCCACGTACTGTAGGATATGTTCTGGTAAAATATATAGCTATCCACACATTAGCATTACAGTAGCTGATGGTGGCTTGATAGTAGTGCAGATAAGGGAAGGTCATTAGGAGACAGTTAATTGAACCTGAAGGTTTATAATTTGGAGGATTAAGGCTTTTTATTCAACACTGGACCGGTGCTAATTGGAAGCTTTTGGAAACAGGCCCATCTCCTCTCGTCACTTCTGAGGTAAAAAGGACATTTAAAGAAAGTGCCCCAAATCTGCCTCGTTAAATTAGGAGGAAGCCATTTAAAGTGCTTTATTGCAAAGCTGATGCTAATGCTCATGGGAAATACATACTGTGTGGGAAAAAGTGCAACTTACTATATTAACTCAAGTACGGTAAATAAGTACAATTGTGAGGTACTTGTACTTAACTAGAGTATGTTTACGTTATAGGGATCTAACGATATATCGAATATCACGCTATCGTGATAAATACATTTCTCGATACCGTCGTGAGACCTTTAATTAACCAGGTGGTCCCATTGAGACCACCTTTCAAGGGAGACCTGTCCAACATGGCAGCAAGTAGGTTACAACATGAACATAAAACAACAGATAACACAAAAGGACATCGTATTTACAGGGCTACATTTACATACCTAGAGACATTGACAAGTACCAACAGTATATGTATATCTCGCCCTGTCAATAAGCCTCACCTTCTTGTCCAAAAACGGTATTGTTTTTGAAGTGGTTGTTTTTGAGACAATGCACAGTTTGACCCACTGCTGTCACCCATGGCCAAAGCATATCTCTCTGTCCCAGCAACATCAGTACCAAGCAAGAGAGTTTTTTCCACAGCAGGGGATATTGTAAACGCCCAAACATCCCAGCTTCTACCTGGAAATGTGGACATGCTCATATTCCTAAAAACCTGTCTGATGATGCTGAGTGAGTGAGTTTGAGTTGAGTTACTTGAAAAACTAAAGTGAAACTTGATTTATTTTATTGCAGGGTCTGATTATTATATTTTTGACACTTTAAAATACTACTATCCTACTAAAATGCTGTACAAATCAGATTTATTTTTTCAAGTAAAAAAAACAAATGGCAAGATAGCATTTTCCAAAAAAAACATTTCAACTTCTTCTTTTTTTTTTTTTCCAATATCGCGATAAATATCGTACCGTGGACTTGTTATCGCGATATTATCGTACCGTGAGTTTTTGGTATCGTTACATCCCTATTACGTTGTGATATTTTTACTCAGATATCGCATTTTTTACTTCACATCTTTTTAATTTAATATCTTAAGTTACTATTTACTTTGCTTACTTTGATGTCTGATATATTATTATAGGTTTATCTACCCAGCAGTATACAAAGGAATGCATTTTAATTGGAAACGGGCCGTACCACTTAAAGAGTACTTTTACTTCTGCTACTTTAAGTAGATTTTGATGCTAATACTTAAGTACTTTTGCTTAAGTAAGAT